GCGGTAAGAGGAACAGATCGGATCGAAAACGGCGGGTAAAGTCGAAAAAACCGGTAGATTTTCGTTCTGTCCGACGTTCAACATAGGTTTCCGCCGAAGATAAAGGAGCTGCGAACCTGGCGATTTTTGCGCGAGAAAGCCCCGGCTTCGGGCTCAAAGATAGCGGCTTTCTTTTTTTTTCTTTATGCCTTTTCGTTCGAAAATTTCGATTTTTTTGATTTCCTCGACTACGCGCTACTTTCCGATTTTTCCGGTTTTTTTCCGGGTTCGCGGAACGTTCGGAAGGAAAACGATACCGTTTCGGAAACTAGAAACTCGGCGCTTTACGGGGGAGCAAGAGTTGTCGCGGTAGGAGAAACGAACGCGATCGAAAATGGCCGGTAAAGTTGAAAAATCGGTAGATTTTCGTGCCGTTCGACGTGCTTTTTCGAGTAAGTAGCTACGAACCTGACGATTTTTGCGTGAGAAAGCCCGGACATCGGACTCAAAGATAGCGTCCTTTTTTTTCCTTTATCCCTTGTCGTTTGAAAGTTTCGATTTTTTAAAAATTGCCCGACAACATGCTACTTTTCGACGCGCGAAAAAGTCACTTTGTCATCCGACTCTGTCCTCGCCTATTACTACCGTACGTGAGCGAGAAAAAATTATACAGCTATCGAAAAATAACGATAATGAGCTGAGGAAACGATTCTGACCGTTAGAATTACCGTCAAATTTCGAAAAAGTAAACTTTGAGCGCCTGAAAAGTACCGATGACTGCCGTTTTTTGGCGTACTTTGTCTTCGTCGATACGCACCTGCGTTACGGAGCGACGTAGCTACGATTTTTTTTTTCGCAAAACGACAGACCAAAGTCTCCTGATTAATCCGACATACTACACGTTACCCGATCGCATTTTTTAAACTCGGCAGATTACAAAATTTAAACATATGCACACATTTTTAGTTTGACGTTTCAATTTCGAATTTCCGCTCCAGATCTCCGGATTCCTGTTAGGCGGGGTATTGTAGATACGATCGTATTACGAAAGCGAGCGCGTGCGAGCGGAACGTTCGAAACGTGCTATTTTCGGCTTTATGTCGGTCGCTTCATCGAATATAGGATCACGCCGAATACCATTGTCCTTTTTTATGCGTGAAAATAAACATTTTCGAAAAGATTCAAAATTTCTATATTCTATAGTACAAACGGTACCCTTATTCGTTATAACAATCGAGTAGGTTTCGGTGTTTACCGACAGATTGCGATGTTTACTGACAGATTCCGATGTTTACTGACAGATTGTGCAATTATTCTTTCACATTTAGCAGTTCATCAGCTTAAATACGATAAATATGATTGAAAGACGTTATTAATGCCAAAGATCAATTTCTGAAGAGAGCAGAAATCCACAACATAGCAAGACTTTGCACTTATAGCAGTGTACAGTAGCGTATAGTATTGTCTAGTGATACCCGGTGCCGAGTGTTTACAGTTTTTCGGTTCAGATGAAGTGCGTCAGTGTATATCTATCGTGATAATGTATTTCATCTTTGAAGAAGATTGTGAGGTACCCTTATTAATCGTCAGCAGATTTAAATAAGGTAAAAATAATTTTCATTCCTGTCAAATCATAAAACATTTATACTGAAGAAAGAACGTGCTATCCTTAGGCGAACACGGTTGACATATATCGGTGTCAAGCGCCATTTTTTTGCAAGTCGTGCGGTAGCTAGGCTTATGCGACGTTGCCGGATCCTCACATAAATCTGAGTTTGTCATAAAATTTTATAGAGGGCATTAATGCTATATCGAAGATTTTATAAGGTCATTGTGTGCTATTGATGGTGACACATGCGACGTTGCCGGCTCCTCACATAAATCTGAGTTTGTCATACAATTTTATAGACGGCATTAATGTTATAAGATTTTATAACGCTATGTGTGTTATTAACAACGACACATGCGACGTTGAAAAATGAAAAATGGAAAATGAAAAATGAAAAATGATAAATGAAAAATGAAAAATGAAAAATGAAAAATGAAAAATGAAAAATGAAAAATGAAAAATGAAAAATGAAAAATGAAGAATGAAAATGAAAAATGAAAAATGAAAATGAAAAATGAAAAATGAAAAATGAAAAACGAAAAACGAAAAACGAAAAACGAAGAACGAAGAACGAAGAACGAAGAACGAAGAACGAAGAACGAAGAACGAAAAACGAAAAACGAAAAACGAAAAACGAAAAACGAAAAACGAAAAACGAAAAACGAAAAACGAAAAACGAAAAACGAAAAACGAAAAACGAAAAACGAAAAACGAAAAACGAAAAACGAAAAACGAAAAACGAAAAATTAAAAATGGAGAATGGAAAAAGAAAAATGAAAAATGAGAAATGAAAAATGAAAAATGAAAAAGGAAAAATGAAAAATGAAAAATGGAAAATGGAAAATAAAAATGAAAAGTGAAAAATTAAAAATGATAAATGATAAATGATAAATGAAAAACGAAAAACGAAAAACGAAAAACGAAAAACGAAAAACAAAAAACGAAAAACGAAAAACGAAAAACGAAAAACGAAAAACGAAAAACGAAAAACGAAAAACGAAAAACGAAAAACGAAAAATGAAAAACGAAAAACGAAAAACGAAAAATTGAAAATGAAAAACGAAAAACGAAAAACGAAAAACGAAAAACGAAAAACGAAAAACGAAAAACGAAATACGAAACACGAAAAACGAAAAACGAAAAACGAAAAATGAAAAATGAAAACTTATAAAAGATAACAGATACCAGATACCAGATACCAGAAACCAGATACCAGATTCACATACCAGATACCAGATACCATATACTAGATACCAGATGCCAGATACCAGATACCAGACACCAGACACCAGAAACCAGATACCAGATACCAGAACCACATACCAGATACCAGATACCAGATACCAGACACCAGATACCAGATAACCGGATCCACATACCAGATACTAGACACCAGACACCAGATACCAGATACCAGATATCAGATACCAGACACCAGACACCAGATACCAGATACCAGATACTAGATACCAGATACCAGACACTAGATACCAGATACCAGATAAAGAGATAACAGAGACCAAATACCAGATACCAGATTTCACATACCAGATACCAGACACCAGATACCAGATACCAGACACCAGATACCAGATACCCGATACCAGACACCAGACACCAGATACCAGATACCAGATACCAGATACCAGAAACCACATACCAGATCCACATACCAGATACCAGATACTAGATACCAGATACCAGATACCAGACACCAGATACCAGACACCAGATACCAGATACCAGATACCAGATACCAGATACCAGACACCGGACACCAGATACCAGACACCAGATACCAGATCCACATACCAGATACCAGATACCAGATACCAGACACCAGATACCAGATACCTCATACCAGATACCTGATACCAGATACCAGATACCAGACACCAGACACCAGATACCAGATACCTCATACCAGATACCTGATACCAGATACCAGATACCAGATACCAGACACCAGACACCAGATACCAGACACCAGATACCAGATACCAGATACCAGATACCAGATTCCAGATTACAGATTCCAGATACCAGATACCAGACACCAGATACCAGATACCAGATACCAGATACCAGAAACCAGATACCATATACCAGATCCACATACCAAATACCAGATACCAGAAACCAGAAACCAGATACCAGATCCACATACCAGATACCAGATCCACATACCAGATACCAGATACCAGACACCAGACACCAGATACCAGATACCAAATACCAGATACCAGATACCTGATACCAGATACCAGATACCTGATACCAGATAAAGAGATAACAGATACCAAATACCAGATACCAGATACCAGATTCCAGATACCAGACACCAGATACCACATACCAGATACCAGATACCAGATACCAGAAACCAGAAACCAGATACCAGATCCACATACCAGATACCAGATCCACATACCAGGTACCAGAGATACTAGATACCAGATACCAGATACCAGATACCAGACACCAGACACCAGATACCAGATACCAGACACCAGACACCAGATACCAGACACCAGATACCAGATACCAGACAACAGATACCAGATACCAGATACCAGATAAAGAGATAACAGATACCAAATACCAGATACCAGATACCAGATACCTGATACCAGATACCAGATACCAGATACCAGACACCAGATACCAGATACCAGATACCAGACACCAGACACCAGATACCAGACACCAGATACCAGACACCAGATACCAGATACCAGACACCAGATACCAGATACCAGATACCAGAAACCAGATACCAGATACCAGAAACCAGATAGCAGATACCAGATCCACATACCAGATACCAGATCCACATACCAGATACCAGATACCAGATACCAGATACCAGATACCAGATACCAGACACCAGACACCAGATACCAAATACCAGATACCAGATACCAGATACCTGATACCAGATACCAGAAACCAGATAGCAGATACCAGATCCACATACCAGATACCAGATACCAGATACCAGACACCAGACACCAGATACCAAATACCAGATACCAGATACCAGATACCTGATACCAGATACCAGATACCTGTTACCAGATACCTGATACCAGATACCAGATACCAGATCAAAGATGCCCAAGGATAAAAAATGATTAGAGATAGAGATAAAGTTATCGCTAGCATTGCATTAGCATACCAGCAACTGCGCTACGTGAGGTTTTAAATAAAGACATCAACGTACAATATTTTGCATAGCGTTAGCGTGCCAGCAACTGCGCTAGTTGCTTTTATTAAGAAACGTTTCTTCATACTACCGCAAAAGAACGCTATAAGCAAAATGGCTGCTGATGATCATGTCTACATTTCAAGTATAATATAAGAAGCAATAAACAGCACCGAATACGCTCCTGAGTTTTACACCAGATTCATGATGGCCAACGCTACAGATTTTTATTCAATTCGGTAGACGTCAAAACGGTCTGATTACTCGTGAAAAATACTATATGTAGCACATAACTTGTTGTGTCGAGGTTATATTTTCATTGGCTTGTGCTTGTATATGTAGGTGGTGGAACGAAAGACGACAACTCAACACCTTCTATTATTGACGAGAAGGTATTAGCCGTGCTGGGGCCTTCCTGCGTCGGTCTCGAAAACCCTTTTGACGGTGATTCGTCCGTGTCTTTGGTGAGTCACTATTTCTTTCCTAATTTTCTTATTGGTATTGCTTTTAACCTAAGGTGTAATGGAACACCCTCATTACTTTCAGAGTGGAGAACAATGGGGAGAAGTGGAAGTGGTGGAAGTCCAGCAGGTGCCGGCATTTTTTGTAGAAGAGGCCAAACCACCAGTAAATTCTGAGGGGCCACAACCGTCTACAACATCAGCAGGTTCATCCTCAAGCAGTGGTCACAAATGGGAGGAATATCAGCCTAAGCACCTGATGTCACCAAAGGCTGCACCTCTTAAACCTGAGATATCAGCAGAACAAGAGTGGGTTAAGAGGAGCCAAAGGCGTAGGCCCCAATTACCAACCGATGAGAAGGCTAACCAGCTCATAGACGCAAAGTTAGGACTAGCTAGAGCAGCCAAAGAAGAGCTGGAGCTGGAGCGAGTAAGCAAAGGTGAGCTGTTTGAGGTGGAGAAACGGAAGAAACTGCTTGAGGAGGAGATGCTCAAACTTCAAGTTTTAAAATTGAGAAAGGATTTGGGTTTAGAGTAGAATGGATGAAAGGGAGGCACCCAAGCACTACACTTCACTTTTTTATTTGAATTCTCAGTATCTGTGGGGCAAGTGCATCCCCTTTTTGTTCTTATGAAGTTTGTTTGGATCTATATTTGTTTGATTCAGAGAAAATGAAAGGGTCTTTGCGCTTGCACTTTACTGGTGAGACATTACTCTTTTCTGTTTAATTATTTGCATTACCTTCATAGGATAAGGTTTACTGTGCAGGTGAAAAGTTTCTCATTCATGATTTACTCTACTTCTATTTTTTTTTAATTTTAAAGACTGAAACAAAAAGTATTTTTGAGTATGAGTACACTTAACAATAGTGCCATGCTTAAGTATAGAAATCAGTAGTTAAGGCTTTGACCTCATTGCATTTTGAGTTTTGTTTTGGGTTAAGCTTCAAGGTAATACCAATTATCTTTTCTTGTTTTAAGTTGCGGTTGCCAAAGCTAAACTTCCTTTTGTTTTGCCTACGCCTAAGATTTATTTTTAAATTATTTCTCATAATTATTGTTAATTTATAGAGAGGAAGAAGACTTGTTTTCTATACTATGCTATACAATCAACTACACAATCTTTGAACATTTAACTTTATTCCTATTCTATTTACATTAGACCAAAAATAAACAAATGGTTTTGAGGCACTGTACACCAACTGTAACAGGATATCAATAAAAGTATGCTTACAAAAATTTCACCACATTCTCAATTATTCTGATTCCTGTGCAGAGTCCTGAAGTAGTCATTGATTAAAGGTTGTCTATAAGGGTCTGCTCCATGGCCATGCTCGTTTGGAATCAGGGGATTATCAATTCTTCCTTGATCAATGAGTGCATCCCATGGTACTAGAAGTTGCAATTCATTGACAACAGGTGGAAGTGGATCCCCTCCCCTCTTTAGAATATTGTACAGCACTGCAAACGAGTATTAATACCTAAGGCGAGTATGGGAAATCTGCGCTTCCATACTCCAAATATTCGTTCTATTGGATTTCTGGACTTGATTTGTGACTCATTATATAATATTTCCTCTGGTCTCGCTGGATTAGCTAGAGGTGTCATTAAATACTTTTTGGAAGCATATTCAGAATCACACAAGAGTATAGATACTCCATATTCATTGTTTTCAAACCGAGCCCGCTGCAAAGAGTTGTCAAAAATTGTTTGGTCGTGGGTGCTGTCTGGTCACCTAGCAACAACATCAGTAAATTCTAAGTTAGCGTTACAAATTCCCTGACAGCTTATAGACATAAAACTTTTCCTATTTCTGTAGTACTCTGCATGGTCACCCCCTGGGGAACGTATTTTAATGTGAGTGCAGCCCACTGCACCAATTACTTTTGGAAAACGAGCAATCACATAAAAGTCTCTTTGAGTCTGTTGTATTTCTGCTTCAGTTCTTGGAAAGTAAATGAACTGACGGTACAGGGAAGCAATAGCAGCTGTAACCCTGTGTATTATGCGGTTGGCGGTAGTATCACTGACACCACTGAAATCTGCTGCGATCAATTGAGTGCAGCCAGTAGCGTAAAATCTCAAGCACAACAATAACTGGTTCATGGGTGAAACAGCATCATTTCTGAAAACAATACATATCAAGTTAACCTAACTTTGTGCATAAGGTGTTAATTTTTAAAGTTTAATATCAAATAACAAGGGAATGTTTGGAATGTCTTTCTTTGAAAAATAAACTCGTCACAACTCACTTCTCAAACGTTGGAAATTCCAAACGATGTTCGATTAAAGTTAGAACTTGGAGGGCACTGTTCTTTGAAAGTCGAAATCTTCTACAAAAATCAACATCGTCTAGGTCTTCCAAATGATCTATCCTCTCTCGAATAAATCTCAATCGTCTCGCTGGAAGCTCCATATCTTTCTCATCGTCGCTATCTTCTAATAAAAGGTTAAGGGCTGCTTCCACGTTGCATCGATCACTCCCGTGACCCCGGTAACTTCGCTATCTGCCCAATTCCCGACCGGATAACTTTTACCGGAGCGACAGCACTTTACCGGGCCGGTAACGCGTGGTGAAACGTAAGTGTGAGGCCTGACTGCCCGCTCTAGACGAGCGTGCAGCGGCGCGGGGCGTGGAGCGTGCATGTCTATATCTGCTTATTCTATCTAGATGTCCTTAGTGGCAGCCGCCAGAGCGTTGTAGAGAGCGCGCATGTTTGCGTTTGGTGGAGCGTCGAGCGGTGTACAGCGTTCATTTCAATTCTGTTTGTGTTTTTAGAGCGTTTCAGTAGCACGTGCATTATGCCGTTCGAAGAAATAATTTGTGCAATCCAAGAAAAACCAGAAATATGGATGTCAAAGCATGCTCTCTATAAAAATAGACTAGTGAAAGCAAAAATCTGGACTGAATTAGCAGAAAAACTAGGCATAGAAGGTAATATTTTATTACATTTTCATTACATTACATACTGAAAATAACTGAACATATTTTGTAAACATTATATTTTCCTATCCCAAAAGTAGTTAGCGAATTGGTTCCGTATATTTCTCGCGGCCTGAGAAGAACTGTTGTTTCTTCTATTGAGATCAGCATAATGTGCCCCAGGAGTCAGATTTGTGTCATAGTTTTGAGAATTACAATCATTTCCTTCGAGATCACGTATGACATTGTGTAGAAGGCAAGCGGTTTTTATTATTAAACATGCGTGTTCTACATTTGTTTCGATCGGCTTACTGAAAATACGCCATTTTGCGTATAAAATACCAAAAGCACATTCAATACATTTTCGTGCACGTGAGAGACGTTTATTGAAATACTCATTTTTATCATTCAGGTTTCTTGATGGAAACGGCCGCATTAAATGTATTTTCAAAGGGTAGGCTTCATCTCCCAGAAAATCATAAGGAGATTCTAATGTGGTCCCTGGTAAATTATCGGGTGGAGGAATATGTAGTCCTCCATTTTCCATCAAACTGTTCAACGTTGAATAATGAAAAGTCCCTCCATCACTTTGTTTGCCTTTTCCTCCTACTTCTATGGAGATAAATCGTTTATTTGCATCCGCCACACCTTGTAGTATTATGGAAAAATATTGCTTGTAATTGTAAAACGAAGAGCCAGACTTAGCGGGACACTTCATTCTGCAGTGTTTGCCGTCAATAGATCCTAAACACATAGGGAACTGCCATAGTCTGTAATAGTCATTTGCTATATTTTTGAAGTCCTCTTGCGTTGGCCGTGCCATATGTACTTCAACCAATTGCTGCCATATAGCTGAACAAGTTGCATAAACAATGTCGGCTACTGTTGTTTTCCCCATTCGAAAACTAAAAGCCAGTGCTCGAAAAGATGTTCCAGTAGCAAGATATCTGTAAAAAAATGATACTGAAAAAAATTGGTAAACCTAAATATCGCTTAGATTGACAAAACTGAAACCCTACTCATTTATGTTATCGATTTGTACATGGAAATATTTTTTTCTTGCAGAAGTTACATTGAAAAAGCGTTGGAAACATTTAAAAGACCAATACCGGAAGGAACTCAAGAAACAACCACATTTCAGATCTGGAGCAGAGGCGGACGTTTGGGTGTCTTCATGGCAATATTTTAATTTAATGATGTTCATTAAAGATGAAGTAATGCCTGCACCATCAACTGGAAATTTATCTGTTAATGAAACAGATGATAGCCAAGAAGCAGAAAATATAGAAAATGATGAGGACAGTTCAGAGATGCCAAATGATTCGGATAATTTGGATTCTGAAATGATGCAGCCGATGATGTCTCCACCTTCTCAACCTGCAGCCACATCGTCTGCAAGTTCGTCTCAACAGTCGTCATCGTCGTCAAGAAAACGTTTGAATCTGAAGGAGAGTATGCTAGACATCGAAAAAAAGAAACTTCTATTGATGGAAAAACGGTTAATGGAGACCGATAATGATCAGAAGTTAAATAATGATGAAGACTTCTTATTCTTGAGAAGCATTCTTCCCGCAATGAAGAAACTAACGGAACTGCAAAAATTTCAGTTCCGTGGCAAAGTTAATGAATGGCTGTATGAAGCTACGAAAGAAAACCAAGCAGTTACTTCTCAACAAAATGTTAATTATCAGTGTTACTACACTACACCACCAGATGAAGAAACTCAGAGTTTAACTTTTTTGTAGTTCGAATTAAATAAAATAAATACGGTTACCTATATTGAAGTAGTTTCATTTCTACTCACCTTAAGGTCACGATTAATTTTTCTGCAGACGTTATTGAATCTGATATATGAAAGTTAGTGGCTGTTAACTTTAAACGAGCATCTATTTTTTCCAATATGTAGTCGAAAGTTGGCACTGACATTCTTGTATACTCGTAGAATTTGTTTTCGTCTGATCGTAGGGTTTCGTACAATGTAGAAAATTCACCTAATCTTTTTCTTTGTCTAACAATATGACTTGGACCCTCCTTGCATAACAAGTCAAATTTTAAAACTGAATTTTCTTCTAAACACATATCAAAAATAGTCCGGGAGCTAGTAACGTCGGGAAAACAACAATTTCAGGTCAGCTGATTTTTTGATATGTTATCCTTCTTCCTCTTTTGGGTAGAGCCTAGGCTATCTGGCTGGCGGTAGCGGTTGCGTTCATTAGTGCGCATCCTACCTGTACAGGTAATAATCCAAGGTTTTGAAAGTATTTCAAGAAGCTAAATTTTTAATTTCTTATCTTTAGATAGGTTTACCAAACACTATTTTTTTATTGCCAGACACTTTTATCATTGCCAATGATATGCCATACGCGATCTTTTTTTTTTTTTTAAATTTCAAATCATTATAGTACGTCTGTCATTTTAATATTACATTATTTGAATATATAAAAACCTAAAATTAATTTGCCAAACATTAATTCGATTGCTAAACCTTGAAAAAGAACGACAAACCTGAGAAATCCACACAGCGTCGTGCTAGTAGTTAGAGAGAGATAGTTGTAAGATGTACTGCCGAGAAGAAGGCGGAACATCATTACAAAACTACAAATCTTGATGGAAAAAATGAAATATGAAGAAAATTATATTAGAATATATTCTAGTCAAAAACGAAAAAATTAAAATGCATTATTGAAGGTTTAAAAATTAAATTTTTTATTTATAATGCTCAGGTAACACACATAAATAACAAATTAAAAATATTAAGAATTCTTCTTTAGTTTTTAAATATTTCATTCCATAATCGTATTACAAACGAAGGATGCATCTTCACAATCGTCATCATCGTCGCTCTCATTGCTAGAAGTATTGAAATCATCGTCTTGGTCATTGTCATCATTTCTTAAAACTCTCTCATCTGTAACAAAAAAAAGTTAATATAGTACAGTTTTTGTCGTTTCTTATATGATATTTTACTGATTATTGATAGATATTCTATTGCATACTTACTTTGAATAATAATATCAGCAATTGATGATGGTAACTGCTCTCCCAGGAACCAGACAAAATCATATTTATTATCTTTGATGGACCAACCGGAAGCAACTGGAGATAAAGAAGTTGGATGTTTCAAGTGAGCATTCCTCCAAAGTTTAGTCACGTAGCGCACTCTCAATAAATGCTGTTGCAATTCCGCTTTACAGGGTGGCAAACTCGATGAGTCAAAGTTTCGAAATTTCTTCTCAAAATTTTCATCGGATTTTTTTGATTGAAAAGTATTTGAGAATAAATGAAATCGAACACTATTCACATCTGAAGAATTTTTAACTCCATACATTTGACAAACAAACTTCTCAAGGATTACAAAAGTACTGTCAAGTAAATCTTCGTTATCCGTAGTTATGTTTCCAAACGCTGATTGATATTCTTTAGATTTTTCCAAAATTTTAAAAGATCTAACTTTACCTTTTCTAAAGAATGCTGGCGTGTAATCGCACCCCGTGATTGCGTGGAAGCATGGTAAAGCTTTTGATAGAGAATCACCAAGGATTCGGTATAATTCATTAACGTTTACGTATCGCTGATGATTGCCTACACCAATGTTAATCCAAATCTTCAAAAATGCATTGAGGTGATCCATATTACCCAGTAATACTCGTATAATTAAAATATCGGAGTCAGAACAGCGTATAACAACGTCGGCATCGAAATCAATTTGACATATATGATAAATAATACGAGAATCAGCTTCTTCGTGTTCTTCACATGATAGAGATTCTTCGATACTCCGTACAACTTTGTTATTCAAGACTTTATACGAATAACATTTGTTGAAACTTACATAAATAATTTTATTACCAATAAAAGGTACCATGTCTTCACTATCCCAGTGATCAATAAAAAAGTTAACTAGAGCTATTTTAAATTCCATGTTTTTAAGTTCTGCTCCGAAATTGTGTGGCCGAATTTGATTAGGACCGATAGATACTGGAATGGTTGACTCTTCTCGACGTGAACGTTCAAAATCCTTAATTGATGGTGAAAAGTATTGGTCAAAAATCACATCGATCCGAACTGATTTCATTTGGGAGATCGCAGAAAGAAACTTTTTAGCGATTCCATCAAAAGTTTGTGGTATCTCTTTCATGAGATGCAACATAAAAAAACCATCAACGATACTAATGTCAAAAGATGACGGCTGTTGATCGATCGCAGTTTCCAATTTCTTCTCCATCAATTTTGTTAATTGTGCTTTGTCGGTTTTACAAATTGAACCATCTGGATGACACATAGACGTTGGCATCGGAGTAAGTGGGAATGACAAAACTTTTTCAATGTCAACCTTGTGAGTAAGGGAAATTCCCAACATTCGACCAAATAAATCTCTTTGCATGCGCAGTTCAACAACTTTATTCCCGAGAGCCAACTTCTTTTTCTTTGGAGCTTCAGTAAAATTTAAAACTCGATTTTTTTTAATCGGCTTATCAAATCTACTCTCATCCTCGGCACATTCATTGATAAACTGGTTTCGTAGACCTTCACCATTTTCTTCGATGCTGATTAAGTAGTCAGCAACCTCAGGAGACACAGGCTTTGAAGTAGCAATATTGTACAGATTTTCGCTATCTAAACTAGGATCAAATGGGTTGCAATTTTTCTCGAGAACTTCAACAAAATCGGCTAATTGTTTACCATAGATTTTCATTCGATTAGGTTGTAAATCTGCAGTTACATCTTCTAAGTACCTTAAACCACAAATATCCAAAACGTGAGAGATTAAAGCAGCTCTGATACTGTGACTTTTAGACCAACGTTGACGCGCTGCTATAGAATTAGTGAAATGTGAAATTCCACTGAGTCGTTTAGCTGCATCAGCATTTATTGTTTGTTCGAGAGTGAGATCTATTGGTACTCTTGAGAATGGTTTATCAGTTCTTTTGACTCCGAAAAATCCTTTATTGAAATCATCCTCTAGACCTGGATGTGTATCAGCGACGTTATTCAAGTTATCTACATATTTTACACAGTATCGAGCGTAGTTAGGTTGATTTACAATGAAAAACAAGTTGGCCATTTTAGGAATCACGGCTTTAAACATTTCGAAGTCACCCATACGTATGCTTCTCGACAAGTTTACGTAATAACGAATTAACTGGATGTAGATCATATAAAACTGCGCTGTTTTTCCATGATTACCTTGCCTTGTTTCTGCAATATATTGTTGATAAGACGTGAGCAGTTGTGATAAAATTTCATTTGGTAATAAATCTCGAAGCGTTGATGATTGCGATATTTTTGTGTCCTGGTATTCTAAAAGATCTTCATAAATTTGTCCCTTTACAAAATTGTGTTCAACACGTTCGGTTTTCAAAAATTGATCAAAATGTAAAATTTGTAAACCTAATGCCATTAATGGATGCAAGCGCTTGCAACGATTGAAGTGTTTACCTTCAATTATTCCATTCACTGACCCCGAAGCGATAATTTTACTCTCAATCATCATGTGAGATAGTCCGCATTCATCGATGAAAGTACCAACTGCTTTAAAAAAGGCCATCATCAAATGAAAGGAGCCAAGATGTATGAAAAGATTGCTAAATTTTAGACCTTCTGTTGCTTGAATTTTTAAAGCTATTTTAGCAATTGCTAAATCATATGAGACTTGCACATAAGCACACTCTTTACCAACACCTTGTGCTTGTTCCATTGTGTATGCTACCACTGAGACATTTGTAGGTGATAAATTGATTGGCGTTAAGTAAGATACTTTTTGTTTTAGACTGTTGTCTTCTAAAATTCGACAGTTAAATCCTGTCCATGACGGTGTATTTGGCACGTGAAAAACATGTGACAGCAAATGCAATAGATCAACTGTTTGTAGTAAAGAGGAACTTTCAGGTAGAGATGGTTGATCAATTTGGACTGGTGTTAAGCGACCGATCATCTTTAATCGCTTGCTGTAAGGAGTAATATCTGGAATGATTTCTGTTAAGGTTCGTCTTCTCTTCGACGGTGGTGGTGGTGGCAACATATCTTCTGTATTTGTATCATCATCTTCATTTAATTCACTATGGGAATTACCATCTATGTTTTGATAAATAATTCCCACAGTATCATGTAAGGTTTCTTTTCCATTTATTGTGTCAACGTATCTATCAAAATTGTCAAAAGCTACACCAGTGCATAGTGAAGGATTTAGAATAATGTCTGGAGGACAAACTTGAGTTTGATGAACGGATGATATAGTTGCTTCGGTTTCCAATTCTTCTAAAGTGGTATAATTACAACAATGTCCAAATCTATTCAGAATATTTATTATTTTTTTACTACTTGTCAGACTTTTAATAGTCATACCAAGAGTGATGTGTTTTGATGGTTTAACCGTACCATTACTTACACAAAAAATTGCATCAGCAGCCATTGAAGAACTTAATCGATTACAATTTAAACCATCTCTGCGCCGAATATCTTTACCAACAATCAAAATTTAGTCGCTTGTTTTAATTTTGGACGGCATTTTCGATTTTTCGATGTTTAAAATCGTATTTCGCAAGATTAAGGCCACTTTATCGATGAGATTGTCTTCTTCAAGTTTTGTCAAATCATCTTCTAATAGAGTGCATTCCTTATGAATGATAATTTTGTTTTTTTGTTTCGATATAATTTTAATAGATTTTTTGAAATATTTTTGTATTTTTTCTTCAAGGTAATGATTATTTATTAAATTAATATCTAACTCAGGATGTCGGTTTTGTTCATATTCCAATTCATTATTGTATATATCGGAAAGAGATGACAACAATACACATTTTCTTTCTGTTAAAACGTCTTTCTCGATAATCGACACAATATGACTAAAAATATCTTTATGGATACTACGATTTTTATGCCAAGATGAATATGGAACATCCGAAATTAATTTGTTATAATCATTTAAAAAAGCTAATTCACAGGAATGGTGATAAAAAATAGTTCTATTTGTAGATTTGAAATTGTTAATTTTCTGTAACAACTGTTCATTACTGAGTTTTTCCATCCACATAATAATTTTATCATAAAGTTTTGCATCGTTTGAGTGGTGAAGACTTTGTTGTTTACCCTTATTCTGCTTACGATCTTTATCACAAAAATAACAGACATTTTTTAGTTGTCGACCTGTTCCAATATCTTCTGCAGTAGTGTCAAAAGTTTCGTTGTTAGCTGTATTTTCATTAATATTTGAATCACAAGTTGAGCTGGAAGCTGGATCCGGAACTGAAACATCTCCTAACATTCTCTGACTATCTAAACTCAGATTTGCATCTTCTGATAATGTCTCGCTATTCAAATTTGGTTGAGAATGAGCTGATATGCTCGAACAATTTGAACTTTGATCAATGTCTTCCAAAATATTTGAACTTGAACGAACAACTGCACATGCGGTTTCACTGTTTAAGCTTGTAGGTGAACTGGAGTCACTGGCTAAATTTAATTCTGATGATAAATTACGGTATTTTGCCATTAACGCTGTAAAACTAGCATAACATTGTCTATGATATCCATCTGTCTCATTTATTTCGGTCGGCAACTTAGTGTCATGATACTTTAATTTATATTTCACACGTACACTCAAAACTTCCTGGCATTTCTTTAGTTTTTCACTCACGAAAAGTATTAGTTTATCATTTTTGCCCTTACAAAAAACACATCGCATTTTATCACTGGCCATTATAAAAAATTCATAAACAAACAGTGAGACACAACATAAACACAAACGTGGGCCTTTAGACTGACGCCATCTTGAAAATTTGGCGGCTGCGCCAACGTCACTGTCTGTCTCTCTCTAACTACTATCACGACGCTGTGTGGATTTCTTAATAGTCCAGGAAAGATAGCTCAAAAACTGCCCAAAGCTGGAAAAAAATCGCTCACACTTTTTCTCAACGGTTTTCGACTCATTAGACCTCCCTTTACAACATATCAAAGTTCCCCAAAAATCCCCGCATTGGCATTTTCGTCGTACCCTGTGAAACATTTACTTAATTTTATGTATTTAAGTGAAAATTGAGAATACGTTCCGGTCGCTCGGACGGGTTTCAAATTGCAAGTAATGCTAGTTTATATCAGAATTAGGATAAAAAAAGACAAATAGCCCAGAAAATCATTCAATTTTGGCCAATTTTGGTATAAAAAGGCCAAAACAAGTCAAATTTTAACCGAAAACTATCAAAATATAAAAGAACCCGTGATGAATGTTTGATGGTGGTGGTGGCAGGACTGTGTGTGTGTGTGCGTGTGTGTGTGTGTGTGTAGGTGCGTACGTGTGTGTGTGTGTGTGTAGGTGTGCGTGTGTGTGTGTGCGAGAGCGCCCGCGTGTCAGTTTGTGTGAGCGGGCATGCGTGCCCACAGTGCAGGGACGACCAACGCGACAGGTACGGTAAGATTCGCGTTGTGCGTGTCCATAATGTAGTTACACCGTCGTTACAACAGAATACTGCCAATGTAGACGACCCACCTGCTTAAGTGACGGTAAGATTTTTAAAAGTGTACATATTTTCATTTACCTAACCATGAAATCGCATTAAATCCTTTTATCGTTACAGGTGAACATACCAAATGTCAGGACTGAGAAAATGTTTTCTTTTTCAAAATTATTATTGAATTGTTTCCAAATGAATAAATAAATTTATTGTCTTTTGTCTAGACAAAAAAATACGCGTAACTTTCCAGAAACGTGCTGCGCGCGAGCGTACCTTCTATCCTCCTCGACCCCTCCCCCCACGCGCATACACACATACACACACACACACACACTCACACACATAGGGTCGTGCCACCACCACCAAACATCCATCACGGAATCTCTTCTATTTGGATAGTTTTCGGTTAAAATTTGACTTGTTTTGGCCTTTTTATCCCAAAATCAGCCAAAATTAAATGGTTTTCTGGGTTTTTTATCTTTTTTTATCCTAATTCTGATATAAACTAGCATTACTTGCAATTTGATACCCGTCCGAGCAACTGGAACATATTTTCAACTTTTTCTTAAATACATAAAATTGAGAAGATGTTTCAAGGTTTAGCAATCGAATTAATGTTTGGCAAATTAATTTTAGGTTTTTATATATTCAAATAATGTAATATTAAAATGACAGACGTACTATAATGATTTGAAATTTAAAAAAAAAAAAAAAGATCGCGTATGGCATATCATTGGCAATGATAAAAGTGTCTGGCAATAAAAAAATAGTGTTTGGTAAACCTATCTAAAGATAAGAAATTAAAAATTTAGCTTCTTGAAATACTTTCAAAACCTTGGATTATTACCTGTACAGGTAGGATGCGCACCAATGAACGCAACCGCTACCGCCAGCCAGATAGCCTAGGCTCTACCCAAAAGAGGAAGAAGGACAACATATTAAAAAATCAGCTGACCTGAAATTCTTTCTCGAAAACGTTGCTAGCTCCTATACTAAAATGTCATATGAAGCCATGATGATCAAAATACGTATATCACAACTGAACGCTCGCTGTTCACTGAGGCCAGTCAAAGAACGCTCCTAAATTCGCTGCACGCCACGCTGCACGCTCCGCAGAACGCAGTTCTCACTCAGGCCTCACACTTAGTCTCGCTACCGGAGCGGCAACTTGGCGACGGTAACTTTATCGGGCCGGCAGGTGGTGTGGTGAAGTCGGCCCTGAGAGAGCTGTACGGCGAAAAAGGTTTTACCAGAAAGATTGACCTTTTAAGATCACTCATCAGTCTCAGGTTAGATAATTGTGAAAGCATGGAGAATTATGTTACTCAAATGATCGAAACAGCGCAGAAATTAAAGCGTAGTGGTCTCGATGTTAGCTCAGAATGGATTGGTTCACTTCTGTTGGCGGGATTGCCAGAAAGATTCACTCCAATGATAATGGCGATTGAACCTAGCGGAATAGACATAACGGCGGATGCCATTAAAGCCAAATTGATGGATATGCAGAAGGACAGTGGCGCGGTGGAGAAAACAGGCAGCGCTTTTGTCAGCAAAGGCAGTAGTGGCAGCAGTAAGTTTCGCAAAAGTCACAAAGATGGTAGCAGCGGTAGCAGCACAGCTGGGAAGAAGGTCGGTAAAGAAGTCATCTGTTACGAGTGTAAATTACCTGGCCACTTCAAAAATAGGTGTCCTACGTTACGCAAGGAATTTGAAAATTTCAGGAAGTCGCAGAAAAAAGGTGAACAAAATAGAGCAGCGTTTAGTGACATTTTCTTAACCGGAAATTTTAATATATCGGAGTGGTACATTCATTCGGGTGCAAGTGCGCATTTCACATCACGGAACGATTGGTTGAATGCCATTACCGATGATATTGAGTTCCATGAAATTTTAGTGGCAAACGGCGAAAAATTGAATGTTCTGTGTGCTGGAAAAGTTGACTTGACAACTGTATATGATCAAAACAAATATGAAGTTGTAATAGAAAAGGTTTACTATGTCCCAAAGCTTCCCACCAATTTACTGTCGGCAAGCCAGTTAATCAAGAATAAAAAAGTATTTTTTGATGATGATGGTTGCCATATTACTAACCGATTTGGCACGTGTGTTGCAAGAGGTGAATTAATTGACTCGGTATACAGACTCGTTTTTATAAAAACATTTACACCACAGAAAGCTCTTGCATCCTACAAAGTGACAACCTGTGAGTTATGGCATAGGCGATTTGGTCATATCAATGATAGAGACTTGCTTGCTATGAAAAATGGAGTGGTGGAAGGACTAGATTTCAAGGGGAGTTCACAGGTCGATGAACTCTGTGAGGTATGTTGTCAGGGTAAACAGTCGAGACTGCCCTTTAAACACAAAGGTAACAGGGCGACAGAACTACTCGAGATTGTGCATGGTGATTTATGCGGTCCTATGGAGGTTAAGTCAATAGGAGGATCTAGATATTTCTTGGCTCTTGAGGACGACTTAAGCAAAATGGTGTTTGTTTATTTTTTTAAAAGCAAAAGTGAAACCCTGGAGAAGTTTAAAGAGTTTAAGTTGTTTGTTGAAAATCAGAAAGGTGTCAAAATCAAGTGCTTTAGAACAGATAATGGAGGCGAATTCTGTAGTTCTAGCTTTGAAAAGTTCTTAGAGACAAATGGGATCGTTCATCAAAAGACCACCCCATATACACCACAGCAAAATGGCATGTCTGAGAGGATCAATAGAACACTTGTCGAGAAAGCAAGGTGCTTATTATTTGATGCTGGTCTCTCCAAGCAGTTTTGGGCAGAAGCGATAGGCACAGCAGTATATCTTAGGAACCGTTCTGTTGTTTCAGGGCTTGAAAATAAAACACCTTATGAAGCATTTTATGATAAGAAACCTAATGTTAGTCATCTCCGTATCTTTGGCACTGAAGTGATGGTTCACATACCCAAAGAAAAAAGGCAAAAATTTGACATGAAGTCTGAGAAAATGTTTTTAGTGGGCTATGGTCAAAATGTTAAGGGCTATAGGCTCTATGATCCTATTAACCCTTTCAGGACCACTGGTAATTTGAGTATACAATAATTTAAATGTCGCGTATTGAATTGCCTAGCGGTTTTCTCAGCGTACCAGCATGTAAAGTTGGTTGCCTAGTGTATTGAAAATATTATGTGTCAATTATTGGACCGGCAAATATTTTCTGCCTGGATCCATAGGTAGTAATTAACAGTTGTTTACAACGGACGTTCTACTCTCGCGTAAAATAGTGACAATCTTTGCTTTTGGGAGATATAAAAAATGGCAGGTATGTTTCTTTTCGCTATGTTTGTTGTATAATTGCTTACTCAAGTTATGCATACAAATTTTGTTTTTTTTTTAATGTCCTATTCGTAGTTTTTATGAGTGGTAATCTGAAATAACCACTAGGCACTTTTCAATGTGGTGATAACAAAATTGTTTTAGGAAATAAAAAAGCAGGTTGGAAGCTTGTAGACCTGGAAAAACTGAGCCAAGATGAACTATATGCTATCCTCGATGAAATACCAAGTGGCAGTGAATCTGAAGGTTTGGATGTAGAAAGTGAAGTAGGAGAAGGATATCTAGAGGCAAATAACTTACCAGAAACTGACCTTCTTGACATTCAGAATATGGATATTATTCTCGAAGAGGAAAATGACATGGCTGTTGAAGTAGACGCTGACATGGGTTGGGAGAGCGAGGACGATGTATCACTAGCAAGATTGGCGACCAATCAGTCTAGTATTTGGACAAATAACGAAAACTATGCCACTACAACAAATCCTTTCATAGAAGTAATAGGTCCCAACCTAATTGCGGATGTAGAAACTCCGACTGACGTTTTTTTATCACTTTATCCTGGAGATCTAATCCAACATATAGTGTTCCAAACAAAAAAAAATTTTTGGGGGTCAATCTACTGATGGGCATCAAGCAAATGCCCAGTTACAGAGACTATTGGTCATCCAACGACGAGATAATTTCATTAGTGCTGCTATTTCACGGGATACATTCTCGTGGTTACTAAGCCATATCCATCTCAATGACAATTCGGTACAACCGGGAAAAAAATGACCCCAATTACGATAAACTTTGTAAAGTTCGACCAATTCTATCTAAGCTTCGAGAAACATTTCTTTCCGCCATGAATCCACATGAATTTCAATCTATAGATGAATCCATGATACGATTCAAAGGACGAAGTTCAATTCGTCAATACATGCCAAACAAACCAATCAAGCGGGGCTACAAAGTCTGGGTTAGGTGTGACTCAACTGGTTTCATGTGCGATTTTCAAATATATACCGGAAAAATTGGCCAGACTACTGAAAAGAAATTAGGGTTACGGGTTGTGAAGGACCTCAGCAGAGCTTTAGTAGGAAAGCATCATAAAGTTTTTTCGACAATTATTTCAATTCCGTTGAACTACAAAGGTATTTATTATTGAATGGAATATATGCATGTGGTACGATAAGGAAAGGTAGAAAATATTTTCCTGAGCTGAAGTTAGATAAAGATATGAAATGAGGCGATAAAGAGTATCGCATATCTACGTGCAGACTAGTGGCCATGAAGTGGATGGATCGAAGAAGCGTATTATTACTCAGCAATTACCAAAATCCTGTGACAATGGGTCTCATTCCAAGAAGGAGAAAAGATGGGGTCCTTGATGAAGTAGCACGTCCCCAAATGGTTATCGAATATAACACCCATATGGGCTATGTCGATAAGTTCGATATGCTAAAAAGCCTGTATGAAGTAAACCGTAAGTCACATAAGTGGTGGCATAGAATTTTCTTTTACTTTGTTGATGCATGTGTCGTCAACGCCTCAATTTTGTTTCGATTGCGGAGCAAATCAAAAGCAATGAATTTGAAAACATTTCGTTTGGCTGTATCCAGGGGCCTCACTGGCGCAGTAGTTCCTTCCAAACGAGGTAGGCCATCAAACAAGGAACCTATCAATAGGTTCAAAAAGTGTGTTCCGTTAGAACTTCGGTATTCTAAGACATGCCACATACCAGAAAGAACTACATTGCTGAGATGTGCCCACTGTAGCACCACAAAGGAAGTAAGGCGTACAAACTGGAAGTGTTCATCGTGTAATGTGGGACTATGTATAAAACACGCCAAAAACTGTTTTGCCGCTTACCATACCAAATAATGCTATTTATATTATGTATTCGCCTGCTTTTGTTGCTGTTACCATGACCTATTTTTTATGTTAGTTTCCTACTGGTAATTCAGGAATACCATATCCTGCAGGATAATCCTGATTATTTTCCATTGGTTCTGCGATCTTAAAAACTAAGTAAAATATAAATAAACAGAGTTACACTCTTCATTTTGTTTGTTTATTTAAATAAATAAATTCGGCCTCAAAGGGTTAACCCTTTCAGTACGGCTGACATATTTATACGTCAGTTATAGAATATACCCACCGGCCGGCTGACGTATATATCCGACATCGAAGAATTATATCCATTAGCCTACTGCCTAACAGATTCGACACTTTTAGAAACTGGCATTTCACCACAGACGAGCGCCGTAATATTATGTCAATGTTTCGCTCACTGCTTAGCCGGATGACGGAAGATTTTGGCGTTGCCGAAAATTTACGACATCCGGCTACACTGTCTAGCGTCTGTATCGTGCTTGCGATTTTTGAAACCGAGCGTTATAGTCTTACTTGAAATGGCAGAGGAAGAGTGCGCCGGTCCCTCTGAAAGGCCTACACGTGGCCAAAAGCGTAAGCAACAAAATTCTAGTTACTGCGGCTTGAGCGAGGACGATATCAGGCAAATTTTATCCGTTGTGGATGAGGATGATATCTACCTTAGTGAGGAGGACCCATTTGAAGACAGCGGCAGCGAATACTCACCCGATAATTTAGAAAGTGAAAGTATTAGTTCTGAAGTCTCTTCGGTTGACGAAAATTACGATACCGAACAAGTTACACAAAATGAGGAACCAGAAGATCTGGAAGCTATTTTGCAGCAAAGTGAACAGGAGATTTTTTGGACCTCGAATGAATTTGTCCCTCGAGTACATGAATTTGACCGAAATAACAGTGGTTTGAAGAACGATAATTTGACTCCGGACTCAAAAGAAGTAGATTACTTTCTTAGCCTGTTTTCCGAAGAAATAGTAAATATAGTTGTGACAGAAACGAACAGGTATGCCGCCCAACAAAAGGCTAAAAACTGGAAAGATATTAATCTGCCAGAATTGTATGTTTTTCTTGCTATAACTATGTTAATGCCACGCGTGAAGAAACTTGAAATGAAGGAGTACTGGTCTCAGGATAATTTACTACATACGGCTATTTTCCGTCAAAAGATGTCAAGAGACAGATATTTTCAAATTCGCCGTTATTTGCACTTTTGCAATAACGAAGAAGTACCATTGAATGATCGTCTGTATAAAATTGACCAGGTGATGCAAAAATTAAGAAGAAACTTTCAGAACAATTTTTATCCCTTCGAGAACTTAGTTATAGATGAAAGCATGGTGTTGTTTAAAGGAAGGTTGGCATTTAAACAATATATTAAAACTAAAAGACATCGATTTGGAGTTAAGTTATACGTTCTTTGTGACTGTGAAACGGGCTTCGTCTTAGATTTCATCATATACGCGGGTAAAGCTACAAATGTACAAGCTGAAAAAAATCATGATCTGGGTATTACGGGAGCCATTGTTGCCAAACTAATGAGCCCTTTTTTAAATAAAGGGCATTCGCTGTTTACAGATAACTTTTATACGAGCCCGTCTCTGTCAAATTATCTGTTCCAACACAAAACGAACTCTTGCGGCACGGTACGACAAAACCGAAAACAAATGCCAGTATTTGAGAAGAAACTAAAAACTGGTGAAGTCGACTGGAGAAGTAGCAATACTATGTTGGCGCTCAAATGGAAAGACCGCCGCGATGTTATAATGCTGACAACAATACATGCAAATAAAATTGTCTCTCTTCCTAAAATAAGCAGGATTACAAAAGAAAATATAAAGAAGCCGTTATGCGTTGTAGAATATAACACGCATATGGGCGCAGTTGACAGGTCGGACATGATGATCAGTAGCATTGATTGCACTCGTAAATCAATAAAATGGTATGCAAAGGTATTCTTTCATTCTGTGGATGTTACCTTACTAAATTCTCACGCAATGTTTTCGACGCAGCATCCAGAAAAGGTTCCATTTGCAAAGTTTCACTTAGAAGTTATTCGGCAGTTATTGGAAAGGTAAGTTAAAACATCAAGTTTAACAATTAACGTATCTAATAAAAACATTTTTTTTTCAGGTATTCATCGACTGAGGCAAAACCACTTCATTTTGATCAGGGGAATGCAAGGCTGACAGAACGGCATTTTCCGGAATTGGTTCCTAGAAAAGAGGGAAAGAAAAGTGCCACTAGGAGATGCAAAGTCTGCTCCCAGACAAAAGCAGGAATAAAGAAAAGAAAGGAGAGCAGCTACATGTGTAGAGAATGTGACGTTGGGCTATGTGTAGTGCCCTGCTTTCGGATTTATCATCAAGTAGCCGACTTTTAAAAGTTAACTTGCACAATGTTTTTTTTTGTTTTGTTTAGTTCTGAGTGTTTTTATTATATTTTTAGGATTCAACTGTTTGATTTTCATTGAGTAATAAAGTTTTTAAGCTGCATTGCTTACTTCGTTAGTGTACTTTAACCTTTATTACGGTGACGGATATATACGTCATCAGGCGCCCAGACAATGCAAAATGTGCCGGCGGTGGTGACAGTACCGTTAAAAAGGGTCCCGTACTGAAAGGGTTAAGAAGGATGTTATCATTAGCCGGGATGTCATCATCAATGAAAAGCTGAAAACACTGAAAACATATGATTTTTTACAGTTGCCAAATACTGAAAAATTATCAGAAAAGAATTTAGCTCAAGTGGGGGAACAAAACAAAAGTTTAGAAATTGAAGATCAACAAGATGAGTACTATGATGTGGCAGATGATCCGAATGACAGTGATTTTGTGCCTGATAGTGTTGAGTTTGTTGAATCAGTGGGTACAATAAAAAAATCTGAAAGACAGAGAAAGCCAAAACAATATGATGATTATGTAACATTTTCATGTCAAAGCGAGGTCAACTTGGATGATATACCAATGTCAGTGTCAGAAGCACTTTCAAGATCAGATTCAAGTAATTGGAAACAAGCCATGGAAGATGAGATGTCATCATTTAAAGAAAATAACTCATGGGACTTGGTTGAAACACCATGCAGTGGTACTGTGGTAGAGTGCAAGTGGGTGTTTAAAAAGAAAATTGATCATGAAAGTAAGATGTGTTATCGTGCGCGTCTTGTAGCAAAGGGTTATACGCAGCGAGAAGGTATAGATTACGATGAAACATTTTCTTCTGTAATCAAATACTCTAGTTTGTGGTTATTATTAGCTCTGTCAGTGAAATTAGATTTAGAGCTTACAAATTTAGATGTAAAGACGGCCTTTTTAAATGGCCAACTACAGGAAACAGTTTTTATGCATCAGCCAGAAGGCTTTGTCACCGAGGAAAACAACAATAAAGTTTGTCATTTGAAAAAGGCAATATATGGACTAAAGCAATCCTCTCGTGCTTGGTATCAAAAGGTAAACGAAGTGTTGATTAGTCTTGCATTTAAGAAGTCTGATTATGAATCTTGTCTTTATTATAAGAGGAAAGTTACTAGTTTAATTATAATTGCACTGTATGTTGATGATTTTATAGTTTTAAGCAATGATAAATTAGAAACAGGTGCTTTAATTAAGCAGCTTAACTCAAATTTTAAGATTAAAAACTTGGGGGACTTGAAATTATGTTTAGGTATGAGAATTCGTAGATGTAAGGATCAGATTAGCTTAGATCAGAGTGCTTATATAGATCAGTTGCTTATAAAGTTTAACATAACAAATTG